TTTTGGTTAAAAATTTTTTGGGAGTACCGAGTAGTTCTGTTCGGAGTTCTGGACAGTTCTCGACGAGTTCTGTCGAAAAGTATCAGGGCTCAAAGCGATTGGACCAACGGTTTCCGAGATATACTCACTTTAAAAATTGTTGATCTTCTGACAAATGTCGCTGTATCTTGCAAACCGTTGGTCTAATCGCTTTTTCACCTTACAGTTTTCGATAGAATTCGTCGAGTACTATAAGAAACGCTACTCAGAACTACTCGGTACTCTCAAAAAAATTTTCAAAGATTTCTACTATTTTTTTTAAACTTTATTATTCTTCAAAAATGTTTTTTATGTATCAAGAACTCTAGGTATTCACAAAATACTTCTGTTAAGCTGATCAGAACTATGCGACCTTGAATTTCGTTAAAAAGTTAGCACCCCATTTTTAAAAAATTATTAAAAAATGATTATTAAGCGCATATGTCATTAAAAATCATAGAGAACTCTTCGTATCGTCAAAAAGAAGCAGGAATTATCATCAGAACTATTGTATCTAAAAATTAATTTTTCAAAAATTTTTAATTTTTTTTTTTTATTCGAAAATTTTTTTTACATATCAGGAACTCTAGGCAATCGCAAATTGAAGCTATTAAGCCGCTCAGAACTATTCCACCTCGAAATTCGATAAAAAGTTAGCACCCTATTTTAAAAAAATGTAAAAAAAATGTTTATTGAGCGGAACTCTTGTTATTAACTATAGGGAACTCTTCGTCTCGTCAAAAGGAAGTGGAAACTCTAATCAGAACTCCTGAGTACTATAGTTGGGGTGCTAACTTAACATACCCAGAAATTTTAATAAAATTTAGGACGTGATATTTTTCCTTTCGCAACACTGACGATTAATCCAACTAACGAGTGGTTATTGAATGTTACAGATATCGTAAGGTATCATTAGGTATCATTAGTATCAAACTCGTTCCCCCATTCCTTCGACTAGCACTTCTGTGGCGGTAGAAGATCCGCATTTATTCAAAGCGCACGCTTCCGCGCGCGCCAAGAATTTCACCACGTGCTCTTCCTCCCGATCTCCCGTATATGTCCCTTCTGTTAGTTCACCCCACAATGCATGCTTACCCCTTTCTAGGGCGAAGGGCATTTGTTAGCGCTCTCGCTGCGCGTCGACGTTGATCGAGCACGCGTACGTCCTTAACGCGCTTCAAAATTTCTACCATGAAAGGATTTTACGCGAATCATATACAAATCGTTTGCACGAAAACTCTGGAATACGTGGTAATTTTGCGGCAATTTTGTCGATTGATCATTATTCAAATAGAATAGGTTTTCGATCGACGAATGGGCACCATTGTTCGAATTTGGGGCGTTTAAATAAAAATATAATATGTAAATGGAGTTCCGAAAACTTGACGTTTGTTCCGCACAAATATCGACACCACTTTATAATTATTACATTATTGATTGGCGATACTCAAGAATTAAATATTTCTGCAATCACAAATTTACAATATTAAAGGAGCAATGCGAATAACAATAATAATAAGTATTAAGCATTATTTATTACGTGTTCGAAGAAAAAGCCCTCAAGCGTGATAATATATTTAACAAGATAAATATATACAAAGTTATTAAATTATATATGATGTAAATAACACAAATAAATGCAAGAAAGCAACGCTTGAAGTAAAATTAGTAACTATGTACAATAAAATGTTTTTTTTAAATTAAAATAATGAATAAAAGTGTGTGTGTGTGTGATGTTAATCAAAAATTTAATGTGTATAATAATAAAAAAAGAAACAAGAAAGAAGAGAGAAATATGATTTAAAATAATAGGACAATGGAGTAAATGAGAGTTAAAAAATGAGTCAAATATGATTTAGGTAGGCAGCAGCGTTCGCTATCAGGTTAATTCAGTTACCTCAAAACTGGAAATCAGGGAATTTGAAAATGGTTAGGGATATCAAAGACAAGTTAGGGGAATTTTGCAAAATTTTCTGGGAAATTAAAATTCTTGGTTTTTTGAAGTAATTTAATGTGCGCACACGTTACACCTACGCAGAGTTTTGAAATATTACCTACTTAACAAAGCTGCGTTCAGAAATGTTACCCGAGTGCCTTTTTGTATCGTTTTGTCCTTGTTGTTCACACAATGTTAAATAAGGATAAGATGATACACGAGAACATCCGGGTAATGTTTTCGAACTTAACCCAATTAAATGTAAGCGGTGTTAAAAACATTAACAGTAATTGCTATGTTAAATTGCTTTGTCAGTAAAATATTTAACTGTTTCGAAATTAAGACAAAAATTCAAAATATTTTATTGAAAGTCAAGGAAAATGATGAAATTTTGTTTGGAGATCAGAGAAAAGTTACGGAATTTTAAGACAAAGAATTTGTGGCAACTTTATAATTATATTGTTACAGTTAATAAATATATGTATAAATGTGTACTTCTCTTCGAAATAAATTGAAGCTTACTGACTTCATTATTTGCCACTGCCTTTTTAAATACTTAACCAGCACGACGAGGCCAAAGTACAGATATTAAAAATACTTCTGCACTTGAGGCAAAGTATCAATATTATCAAGGTATCCTAAGCATCTTTACTACTATCACGAGTCTGACATAATCCGGTTAGTGTGCACAGGATCGTTCGCAAGAGGATCGTGATTCTATTAATTAACAATGGCGATTAACGAAATGAGCACTGCCGACACAGGCAATAATATCGAACGCATTTCTTGCACAGCCGGCTTCATTCTACAATGAATTGCGATCTCTGCGCTTCGTAGATGTGTAATTTGTCGATATAAAATTAAAGCTAATGGTGTTTTTCTACCTGATTGCCTTGGTCTAAGCTTATCTAAGCTGAGCTCGAAACTGACCTTAAAGTTTACGAACCCGTCGTTGATTCGTTTCCTAGTATTTTGTAATTACAGTGTGATACTCGATGACCGTTCTCACGCGAACGTATCACGATCAATCGAGATTTAATTACGTTATGACAGAGACGGCGCGTATGAAATAATTACGCCGTTTCACTTTATCTCTTAAAGGCAAACGGCTCGCGCGCGGTCTTCCCTCTCGTTGCGAAAAACTTGTTTGCCGTTAGGACGAAGCACTTAGTCGCGTCGCGTCGTCTCGAGCTCGCGCTCTCTTTGCCAAATGAACGTCTCGCATTTCTTTTTCCCTCTTTCCCCTGCGGATACAATATCCACTTTTTGTGTCGTAACGAGCGATTACTTCTCGCTCATCTTTCTCCCATTCCTCTTCTTCTCCGGCCTCCCGCCGTTTTTAATGGCCGTTGCCGTTCACGCGCGTAATCGGCAGATCCGCGTGCTCGCGCGTTCCCGATGATGATGCCTGGCCTCGTTATTTGTGCAGGATGCGTTGTCGCGCGTGCGAGTGTGTACGCAAGTCGTTCACGTGTACAAGTTTCGACGACTCGCTCGTTGTCCGACGTTCACGCACCGCACCGCACCGCACCGGCGCGACGCGACGCGTCGATGTTTATTCAACTGCAGCTGCGTCAGCTAAGCCGGCGTCTGACTTCGAGCTGCCATCGCCCATCGTGTTATTTCCATTAACGGCAAAAGCAGATTTCATCTATTCACAAAGAGCATTCGACTGTAATTCACAGTGCGCTAAAAGTTGCAAATAATTTTCAAACAGTTATAGAATTTAATTGCAAACCAATATACATAAATGTCAAACGGAAAATGGATTTAAATAGGTAGAGTGAAATATCTCTGCGTGCATGAGAGGAGAAATAATTTTTGAATAGGGAAAAAGTGCAATGTGGCATTATGGAATCTCATTTACATTCTATACAATATACTTGGCTAATAATCAATATTTAAATTTAAAATTTAACAATTACATTTGTCAAAGTGTTGTTCAATTGACTCTACACTCAAAGTTACGACACTTTTATTACACTATTTATAAAAATATGACGACGTTGCATAATAGCTTGAAGAAAATCAGGGGTGACCTTTTAAAATATATTTAAAAAGTTAGTTTTGTTTAAAAAACAGTATTTGGTTAAATTAACAAAAGGTGAAATATATATATATAGTATATATTGCAGAATATATGCAAATGTAAAAAATACTACGTAACTTCTTCCGCATATTGGCTCCTCAGTGATACTAAAATAAAAGTAATACTAAAAAGTACATGCAATTTAAACTATAGATTATATCTACACTAGCCTCAATATTAGATACTTTCCTCTAATAAATAAAAAAGAGAAAGAGAGACATATGAAATTGGAATTACATAAAATATGTTTTCTGTAAAGTTTTATATCAGATTGTATGGGTTATGAATGTTTAAGAAATATATTGTGAACCAAGTCCCCTTCTTGGCTGTTTTTGTAAAGCTGAAGTGTAAATAAATACTACTATATAAAATATATTTTCTCTGAATTACATATGAAATGATGTAGGCATCAAAGAAATTTTTTAAGAAGCGAAACAAGTCACGTGGTAAAGTATATATCACAGACATTGCAACAAACAGTACAGTAAAACAGACTCCTGATGTAAAAAAAGTCCTTAAAAATCATGTGTTCTTGTTTTCAATGTATTTACCGTCGATGGAGAAAAGAGAAGGAACGATTTATATCCGATGTGTCCGTTCCTCGTGGAAGTATGCGGGATACCTTAAGAGGCTCCCGCTTACGTCATCCGATCTTTGGGCCTCGTACCCGGGGCTCTCCAAAGACCTATTACCTTATTTACGATTCGCACGGCCATTATCTCCTGGCAACAAAGTGAACCAGCCGGTTTTTCGATACTATCCGCGTGTGTATACCCGCCGGTGTGAAAGAAAAAGGGGAACCCTTTTCGCGGACGAGAAACGAGCACAAAAGACACGCACAACACAGCCGTGGTGCAGTTTTGCGGTCGTGGCCGCGCCGCCGAGAACGGAGGAGGACTTTTGTCTTCGTTTCTTAATAACACGCGCGTCCATACGGAGACACCGCGTGGGGCGACCATGGCAGAGCTAAAAGTGCCTGGCAAAGCTAAAAACACCACTCTGAGATATTATCAAATTATGGATACGAAATTAGGAACGAAAATATTAGAAGGGATTATTTATGTGAGATAACACGACCGGTATTTATTTACGTCATATTATTGCGAAATGCAAAAATTATATTTCAACTGTATGGTATAATAATAAATAAAATTAATTAGGTCATGATTTTTTTGTAACGCTATTTCGATGAAAGCATTTCGCGCGTTTGCTTTTAGAACGTCGGAGTAAAAGTAGCAATTTCGGTAACGGTAAATAAGTAACCATCGCAGAATAATGATCTCGTCGACAGACAGGTCTCTAATTTTGGAGTATACGATTTAAGTTTCTGTTCAAGTATTTATAAGTCATCAATATTTACGTCAGACGTACGCTACTATACTGATGGCACAATCGATCTTTTTAGTATATTTTAAAATCTCTTTATACAATTGTTACGTTATTTCGTTATTTTAATTTCAAGTTCTTCGAAAAAACACGAGTACAATGAGACAAGTGGAAGAAAGTGGAAATACCATCCATTTTTCACATTGAAAAAAAGTCATTTAATCAAGGTTGCCACAAAATTAGAGATAAAATAGAGAAATATCCAGGAAATATTGAAAATAGAGTAATTAGAGAAGAATTAGGAAATTTTGCACAAAATTTTCTGGAAAATTAAAATTCTTGACTTTAAAGAATTTTAATTTGCGTACATGACACGCAGTTTTGGAATACCACTAACTTTGAACTTGACAATTAAAAATGCAAACAGTGTCGGCAACATTAATAGTAATTTATGTTAAATTAATCTCTCGAGAAAATACTTGATAGTTTCTGGACGGAAATACAAAAAAATTCAAAATATTATTGAAAGTCAGAGAAATTCATCTAAAAATCGGGAAAAATGGAATTTTTGAAATGAGGAATTTGCAACAACTCTGTTAATGAATAAAAAATTGTAGCTTTTATCGACGAATCTTTAGTTTCGTGATGATTAAAACGCAGAGGTAGGAATATTTTCGCGTGAACACGACTGTTGATGTTTGCCGACTCGCAGAGTCATACTACGTTAATTTCAGCCGATGGCTCGCGGTGACCGTCGCTGTTATGGGAGAGCGAGGAAGAGAAAGAGATAGAGAGAGAGAGAGAGAGAGTTTCGATGAAAACGAATTTGTCGTTGGCCGCGATGCAACACGATGCGTCGCACTGCGGCGCAACAACCTGTTCGATGACTTTTCCGTTTGATGATTGCAACAAGTGAGGCCCACCGCCACCGTGCTCTCTCCCGCGTTCTCCCAAACCATTTTACCACCGACTGCCACTCCCCGTTTCGCATTCAACAAGTGGCCAAATCATTCAGCGCGGGGCGACGATCTCTCGAAAAATCGGAATTTTTGTGGACGCTGTCGTTTAGCCAGTCATCGATCGATCTATCAAAATGAGATGGGAGCTCCTCGCGGTGGCGGCGATATGGCATGTCGCGAAAGTCTGGGTGTTCCGAGAAGGGATCGTCAACGCTGCCGCTGAAATTGCAATTCTATATAGCTTATTTTTGCAGTAGCCAATTTCTATTTTCGTAAAAATCCACACAGATACATGCCTTCATCCGCATAATAATAGTATTCGGCGGTTCGCTCTTAAGAGATCCGTGCGAGACGCATCCTTTCGAAATTCGATTGACGCTCTTTCGCCGCAACGTAATCATTACTGTCATCGGAAAGCGCCGATCTTTTCCTCCGTAATTTTAGTCGGCGCGCCAAGTGCTATTGGTGGTGTGTGTGTGTGTGTGTGTATGTATATATATCCGACGCGCTCTCTTGCCCTCTCTTTCTCTTTTACTGAAGAGAGCGGTAGTGGACTCGAACGAATCTCGTGGTATCTGGTGGAATGGGTCTCATTAAGGACGCCTTCACAGCCCTTCATCCTTGGCTCTTCAGGCCCGCGTTTTCGTCCCTTCATCTCTTTCTCGCCTTCTCTCGCCCCTGCTTGGAAACGTTCGTCTTTTATACCTGGCTGCCCTTTGCTCGCATTTCTGGACTTGATCCTGTGTGTTTGCGTGCGTCTTATGTGCTTCGAAGGTCATTCGACGTAGCTGGTTCCTTGTCATCTTCGACTTCAAGCACGTCGCAACTTAATGTGTTTTCAAAGGTATCCGACGAAACCAGGAAATCTCTTGCGCTTTTTGACTAACGGTCTGCCACAAATTCTTCTCTGTCGTAGTTAAAATTTAAATTCTCTCTTTGCAATATTAACAAATAAAATCTTAACATCCGAACAAATCATTGCAATTGTCATACTATTAACGATAATATATGTGTAATAATAATAATTTGCAATATAAGTTATATGAATAAATCTAGTTAGTGAGGAAAGGGCAAATAAGGTCGAGTCTAGATTTTGACGCTCAATAATATTTTTTATGCAAATTCCATAAATTTTGTAAATGCATCTTTTAGTGTATAAACTGCGCGCCACTTACTGTCGGACTTGAAATGCAATCGTAAACTAAAGCTAAAATAATATTACACGATTATAAATTGATTGATTTGATAATGGTGCTATTAGCATCTTAATAATGATTTATCTTCTTTGAACGAAAAGTTATAAGTATATTAGGATCGTACATATAACATGTGTACATAATATATTTTATAAATTATACATGTGTATTATTTATAATATACATACTTATTTAAACAGTTCTAATCAAATATTTATTAAGTATAAATATGTATTTATTTGATATCGAAATCATTAATTCGATTTAACTATAGTTTTTTATTGAGTAGATTTATTTTACTGCAAATAAAAATGTTTATTTAGTACTATTCAAAAATATATTAAGTTTTAATAAAAAATAGATGAAATAGTACAGGACTCTTAATATTCTCAAAATATAAAAATACTTATCTATATATAGTATAAGAGTCAAGAATGATAAAATAAAAAATATAAAATAAAATGTGTCTATATATTTTAAAAAATAATAATAAAACAATTAAATAATATTATAGGCCCACTGCATGTTTCGGCTTTATATTAAGCCCTCTTCAGATACAAAATATTATTACGCAAATTGCAAATCTTATACGCTCTATATATAAGATTTAATAATTTTTTTAAATATAATATATAGTAATATATACACAGATACATAAAATATCGAGTAAGCGAAGAATACCAAGCAAACTGAAATTTGTTTTCAAGAGCACAGATAACGTATATAAGTTTTTTATATAAATATTATCGCGATTTGTGATAACGAACATTTTCCCGTACTGTAGTAATAAGCTGCCTGCGTCTGTAACCGCAGATACAGTTAGTTCATTTATTCGTATTAATAGCCAGAGATCCGCACGTGAATGGCTGACTGGCCCCGAAGCTAAAAAGATTAAATACAATGCCACAAAGTGACGGCAGGCTGCTTGTCGCGGATGCGGCTTGTTCGTCGCGCGAGTGCGTTCCGCGCACGGTTTTAACGCCCACGTGCGCACATATCCTCTATCGCGTCCACATTGTCGTGTATACATAGCTAATTGAATCCCTTCGTTTCTCCAATCCTTTTTTTTCCTTACAGGGCGGCGGCGGTAGCGGCGGGGCTGCTGGCGGGCTGAAATTCACGGTGGCGGACACTTGCGAGAGGATCAAAGAGGAATTCAATTTCATCCAGCAGCAGTACCACTCGTGAGTATCTCTCTTTCTTTTCCGCGCTTATTTTCCTTTTAGTTTTCTCTTTCTCGCCATTCGCCCCCGTTTCTCGAGCATTTCTATTTTCTTTTAGTCCTTCTCTTTTCGTTTTCTTTCTATTTGCTCCGCCTCGTGTTTCCTCGAATTTTCGCGATTATTCAAGACGACGAGTTTTTCTCCACATTTTTCCTCGTTTTCTCGCGGCTGATCTCGATGATGCTTCGATTATCGATTGATTCACAATCATTCGATGCATGTTGCGTTTTACTCCTACTTCGATAAACGAGATCTCGTCGTCGTGTATATTAAAGCTTAGGTTTCCACTTTAAACGTCTCTGGACGGAAAAGTATTGAATTTAGAGAATCATATACATTAAGATTTTTATTCGGGACATGGAAGATATAACAACATATTTCAATTTCAATCAATTTAACCGAGAGATACATTTCTATATGATCTGTATGGGATCCTTTATTTTATTATAGCGTTATCTATCTTGTTCTACCCAATCGTTCCTGATTTTTTTTGTTTCAGACTGAAGCTCGAGTGCGAGAAGTTAGCTAGTGAGAAGACCGAGATGCAGAGGCACTACGTTATGGTAAGGCACTTTGTAAGTTCCTTTTTGTGTCTTTCCTCTCTTCGATCGAGTCTCGTTACCTCTTTCGTTTCGCAAGTCGAGAGCGAACCAAACCAAGAACAACTCCGACAACAATTTAGTTCCTTAATCGTGAAAATGTCGACGATACTCGCAGCTATGCTTCTCAGTGTTCGATAATCCTTTTATGCGCGAAATGCAACAACAAGCAAACAAGCTCCGATAGAATATCGTGAGAAACTTTATACTAAAAGTAAGGGAAAAAGTATCGTTACTTTTCCCCGAGTTTCGGCGAATATTTAATCCAACGTTTCCCACAACTTGTGCAAAATGCATAGAGTCGTTAAAAATAAAATCGAAATTCGATTATCGGTTTTGCGTGCATCGCGAAGAAACTCTTCGAGGAGTCTCTCTCGACTTGCATTCGTATTGGCACGCGAGAATGCATGCCAGGCACACGATATTTATCGATAATGCGAGCATGAAAGAATAGGATATTACATAAATGAGGGAAGAGTGCAAGCCGTTCTCTCTGGGAAAAGCGATTGATATTATTTTCGCTTCATATTGCTGGTCCCTCTTTGATTTAGTTCTATCAGCGTGAAGGCAATTAGTCCAGCCAACCGTACTAATCGTATCGTCATCGGTAAGGAGCTTAACTTGGACTTACCTATATTAAAGTGCAGTACTAACATGGTCCAAAGTATTCGCCACGAGTATCCGTCTCTCCGTTGCTCTCTTCTTCTCTACCTCGCGGCAAGCTGGATGTTATTATTGCCATTTCTACGATAGATTTTTTTCTTTACGAAACTATAAAGTTACGTTACACGCGAAAAGTTGCCTGAAATTGAGGCAATTATCATTTGTATACACATACATTTCTATTATGTTTATATATATATTTGAAATATTATTTTTAAGACAAAATTATTATTGTTATTATTTGACATTTTGAATAATGCTAATTATATTAAATTGGATTACGGCTTATGCTGAAAAATATGGTCCCTGTCTTCGTTTCAAAAGCAATATACAGACACGATGTGTTGATACCGGAAATTGAATGCTCTGAATGAAATATTGGCTCGCCCGTTTCATCGTGAATAGCTGTTGCAAAAAGTCATGCATCGGATAACAGTCAAGCGCTTTCTTAGAATTCGCGTATAAAACGCTTTAAGTACGACGCATAAAATTGTGAAGTAAGTTCTAATATGTAACCTTTTCTTAATCTTTTTTTTCAATTGCGAAACAATCGTCGTAGATTTCACTCGAGAAGTAGAAATACTTCCGAGTGCTCTGCATATATTTCTCGTCTTTCACAGCAAATCAAACTTGCGAGAGACACAGTGGCTCGACTGCAAATGAAAATAAAAATCAAGCAGGATCGGGACAAAATCTTTTGTCCCGATACAAATTCAACATTGTACGGGAATGTATTCTCGCAGGTACCGGGCTTATATGTTTCTGTAAACCGCTTTCGAGATACGAAAGCGAACAACACGGATTGGAGGGTCAATAACCCTGTTATGTTCAATAGACGCAAATTTCAGCGGAGCTAAGGGCACATTGTGTATGTTTACTCGGTTGCTTTTCAGAATTCTATGATTATCTGTACAGAGATTGCAACCAATGTATCAATAAGTTTAAAACTAATCATTATAATCTGCGCTATCACGATTGGACCTAAGGATCCCAAGTATAGAATTGTGTGAAAATTACTGAAGTTTTGTAAAGAATATTCTCTCTGGTAATCATTAGTCTATTTTAGTTAATGTTTTCGTATCTTTTTCGTTTCATACTTGACAGAATATTTAATCATCGGTTTTTTTATTTTAATATCAAGTAATTGCGAAAATGCATCGTTGTAATTTTTGAAACGTTCCATTTCTATCCGCTAATTCTCGAGATAAGTTCAAACGGAGTGCTTCAATACTGGCAGCTATAGGATTTGCGCGCTTAATGCATTCCTAAGAAATGTAAATCCAAATTCACGCGAACGCGAAAGGCCGATGGTGTTTTGCATGCGAAAATTGCGCTCGTTTTACACGAGCTCCATTTACACCGTTAAAACACGCGACTTTAAGAAGCGCTCCGGAAAATCAACCGCGTTCGGCAGATCGATGTCGTCGCCGTAACATCGGCATCCTTGAATTCCGAGATCCTACACCACTGTCTGCTGTACGGCCGATCGTAATTGTCGCGAACTATACTGTCTCTGTAAACTGCTACACCGATGTGACACCGTGCAAGCAACCAAGCAGCAAGCTGGGCCGAGTGGAAGGGAGTCGGGGGTGCTAGAGGGAGTGGATAAGGGGGGGGTCGGAGGTGACAGAGGGGTTGATGGGGGTTGGGAGTTGAGCCGGTAATCGATATCTCCAAAGTAAACGAAGAGAGAGAGATAGAGAAGGGGGGTGGCAACAGGAGGAGCAGTTGGACGAGGCCGCGGCGAGGG